ATGGACTGGAAAAAAAGAGGCTGGTGAAAGCCTGCATACGAGCCAGGTGAACCCCAACCCCTTCCTTCCCCAGTCCTGTTCTCAGAATGCCAGGGCTAAGTGTTACCTCTCTGCAGAGACCGATCTACAAATATTGGCATCTGGGGATTTCCTTCCATAGATAACTCATCCTCTCATCACCCAAGTCCAGTTCCAACTAACAAGTCCCCTCTCTGGACAGAGTTTCCAAAATATTTGAGCACTTCCTCTGTAGGTTACATGGGCCCTGAAGTTTAATATTTTGTGTACATCCACTTTAAGAAAAAGAAGAGTACCCAGAAGTGATATTTAAGTTTTATTACTTTTGTAATAAATCTGCTTCTGTTCCCTTGTAAATATGAAGACAACAAAATTTTCATTAAATCTTTAAGACACTCATAGAAAAATAGAGACAGTGAAAGGAACAGATGAAAACACTAAAAATTAAGTGTATCATAAATATCTGAACATTTTAAGAGAATGATTGCATCTATAAAACAAGAACAGAATGCTGCTTTTAAAAAATAATTGGAGAAAGCAAGAAAGAGAGTTTTGGAAATAAAAATATGAGAGCTGCAATGAAAATTTAATAGAAAAGGACTAAAAAGCAGAGAATTTTTCGAACAAGTATAACATAAATTCAAAGAGAAAAATACTGGGAGAGAAAAGGTAAGAAGATTAATTCAAGGTTCAGTCAACTATCCAGTAGCTTCCTAAGAAAGGGTATATAACTTTTTTTTTTTGAGATATGATCTCACTGTTGCCCAGGCTGAAGTGCAGTGGCACAGTGATAGCTCACTCATCCTCCAACTCCTGGGTTCTAGTGACCCTTCTGCCTCAGCCTCCCAAGTAGCAAGGATTACAGGCACACACCACCATACCCAGCTGATTTTTGAATTTTTTATAGAGACAGCATCTCACTATGTTGCGTAGGTTGGTCCTGAATTCTTGGCCTCAAGCAATCCTCCTGCCTCAGCCTCCCACTGTGCTGAGTTTACAGGTATCAACCACCTTGCTTGGTGAAGGAACTTTTTTGAGTGTATTCTTTCCAATCTGGAAATATGTTTTTTTCTTCATTACTTGCTTGATAATTTGGCTGGATATAGACTTCTAGGTTTAAAATAATTTTTCTTCTGAATACATTCTTCCAATGTCTTCTGGCACCCAGGATTTCTATGAAGACAGATGCCATTTTAATTCTTGATCTTTTTGTACTTTTATCCCCCTGGAAACTCTTAAGACCTTCTCCTTGTTCCTGACATTCTGAAATTACACACTTACAAGCATTAGTAAGAGTTATTTTTACCATTTGTTATGTCAGGCATGCAGGGGTCCTTTCAATCTAGAGACTCATATCCTTCAGTTCTGGGAATTTTTTCATTTACTAGACCTTTAATATTCTTCTCTCTTTTTTCTCTGTTCTCTTCTGGAACCGTGTTTAGGAAAAAATTTGATAAACGTATGACAAAGTATGGAGAAAATGAGGGACAGATACAAAGAAGACTAAGCACATGGATAAAAAGTCAATTATTAACTCTGGTAAAAAAAAATAATAATAACAAAGGAAAGGACACAGTCAGGAAATACAACCCATCTCAGCAGTATATGTTTACATACTTATTACATATCATGTTATATAATCACACTATGTTGTAGCATCAAATGTTAATGTATACACTAGCAACAGAGTCTAACACAAAATTTGTAATATAATTTTTAAAAAACCAAAGGAAAGAAAACAGTCATGAAATACAACCTATCTCAGCAGTACATGCTTACATACTCATTCTATGTCATGTTATGTAATCACACTATGTCATAGCATCAAACGTTAACGTATACACTAGCAAGAGTCTAACACAAAATTTGTAATAAAACTAAAAAAAAAAAAGGAAAATAAACAGTCATGAAATACAACCTATCTCAGCAGTATGTGTTTACATACTCATTCGATGTCATGTTATGTAATCACACTATGTCCTAGCATCAAATGTTAACACATACACTAGCAGCAGAATCTAAAACAAAATTTGTAACATAATTACATTGAAAGGATAGTGGAGGGCAAGACAGAAAGTTTCAGGAGAGCCAAATGCTCAGCCACCATAACAGGAGGTCTGTAATATAATGTCTAAAATGGACAAGCAAAGAAGTAGTAGAAACACACTATTTAAGAATATGGGGAATCACATAAGAAGAAACTTTAGAAGGACTGGAATTGATTGCCAATGGAAAATAGTAGTGGGGTGGAGAAGGGTGGGTCCAGGAACTGCTGTTATTTCTTTGTAAGTCTTCAAGTAATATTTAGCATATACATAAATCAGTTGATGAAAAGTGCATTTTAATTTTTAAAAAAGGAAATGAGAAGCGAGGAATTGGAAACAGCATGTATAACTTGACCCTGAAAGCAATTTTAGCGATGAAGGAGGTGGTTCAGATCAGAGGAGTCGGGCTGCCTGGGTTCAAATCCTAGACTCCACCCACCTATCACTGACTGGGCGACCCTGGGCAGGTGGACTTAATCTCTCTCCGTGTTTTTTGGATTCCTTTTCTTTGGAGGTAATAGCTTCATAGGTTGTTGTGGAGATTAAATGTGTTCACTTACAACATTATAAGCCTGCAGCAGAGCAATGAACGGTACCCCAAAGAAGACGTAGGGTAGAAGGAGAGCTCTTGTTTCCATTTTCATTTGGAATAGACTAGACGGGACATATTAGAGTCGATGTGTGTGCTGGTGGGGCGGGATCAATACTTTACAATGGAGAGATTACACAGGAGCAAAGGCCAGATAGCTGCAGAAGCAGAGACCTTGTCCAGGGGAGAGAAGACAGACCCACCGTTCACAGGAAGTGATGGGGCTCTTGGGATGTGAGGCAGAGGATGGAAGCAGAGACATGCAGGCCCTGAGACATTCATCATCATCCTCTCCTGATACTCAGAAAGTCTCAGGAGGACAAGGGGCCAGAGTCCACACAGCAGCCAGCCTCCCTCGGCTGGTGCTGGGTATCCTTATTTTGTCACCAAAGAGCCAGGAGAACACCAGCATGCCAGTCGCCATTTTGTTATGCAGCTTGGAGCGGTGGCCAGAGTGGGTTGTTTCCTCAGTAACTTAGGGAAAGGTTTCTGTGCCTGAGTTTTAAAATATCTACAATCAATTTTCATGAATTCTCAACAAAGCAAAGTCTTGCTGATATGCAAGAACAAAATCACAGTGTCAGCAAATATGTCATTTATGGAAAAGGTGTCTGTATACATCGAGTTCATTTCTGACCCTTAAGACATGGGGGCAAGGTAGGGACAAAGTTATGGTGACATTTCTACCCACCCTACAGAAAACCAGTCCAAAGCACTCCCAGTTATGGAACCCTAAGGGCAGAGCCAAGTGAATCATGGGAGAATCTAGCTTCTCGCAAAAGAAAATCTGCATAGCAGAACTCCCATCCCAGAAGGGGACATGTGCTCTCCCAGGAAGCATGAAGGACATGCCAGATTTTTCCTCTCTACCCAGGGAGAGAAGAAAATGGCCCTTGCCACATACTCCTTGGTTTCCTTACTTATCTATAGAAGGTACCACCATCGCACCCACACAGGACCCCTGGCTCCTTATTCTTGTCATCTATCAGTCACTCATCCTTGTCATGCATTCATTTGCTCAACTGATGTTTCTTTTCCTCACCCGTGATGAACCAGGCACTGGGGTGGGTACAAGTGACACAAAAATGTGAGCCCAAAAGCTGCAGTCCTACCATCACCCTCCCCCTGCTGATCCTGTCTCCACCCTCACTGCCACTGCCCTGCATCAAACCACCTTCTCCTCCCTAGGCTGCTCTGACAGCCCCCCACCAGGAGCCATCAGGCTCTTTCCTCCAGGATGGACCACCTGTGTCCACTCTCCAGCCAGTACAAGGTTTCTTGAGCCCACACCTGAACTGTGTCTCTGCCTGAATAAAAGCCTCTTAATAGCTCCTGGGATAAACTCTCAGCCATCCATCTCACAAGACCCTTCCAAACAGGACGCTCTCTGCCAACGCTGGTCTCCCCTCTCAGCTCTCCCTAGATTGCCAAATTCATACTGAAATTCTTTTAGTTCCTCAAATATTCCTCTAGGGCTTCCCAATCCTGCAACAATACAAGTGGGGAGCCCCAAATAACTGGAATTTATTTATAAAAGACTGTGTATTTCTTCTTACAGGTTTACCCTTCCGTCACCTTCAAAGCACTCTCCGTTGGATGCAATACACCTATCGAGATGCTTTTTTCACTGCTCAGACACAGGGTTTGAACTGTCCATTTGGATGCCTTTTAGTGCTTCTGCCATTTTTGGTTTCACCTCTTCCATGTCGGCAAATCATTTCCCCTTGGGGACTTTTTTCATCGGGAAACAAAAAAGAAAGTTGCTCCAGGCGAATAGGGAGGGTGGGGAACAGGGGTCATGCCATTTTGGGACCAAAAACTGCTGAGCACTCAGCACAGTATGGGCAGGTGTGCTTATACATTACCCATCATGAAATGGGCAAATATGTTGAAAGAATCTCCAAAAAAAACAAACTCACTGAAGCCAAATGCAATCTCTCACAACAACACTAGGTGGTACACTGACGCCGATGGGTTTCTAGAACACTTACCTAGTGGGAGAAGCCCACCCACCAGAAAGAATTCCGGGTTTTTTGGATCCCACCTGGTACTCTCTCCCATGTATGTGTTTGCTTGACTAATTCCTCCTCATCCTTTGGGCCCGGCAAGGGAAGCCTTTTCTGACCTCCCCCCTCCACTTGAGGCTGTGATGTCCTCCCGTCACCCACAGCAACTGCATTTCTCACAAGGAGCACCTTTTTTTGCATGACGGATTTGTTTGCGAAGTGGCTTGTTGCTGAGTCTACACTGTGAGGTCCTCGAGAGACAAGACCACATCCAAGCTGCTGACCACTACATCTCCAGGGCCCAGCACACGACCAGGGCGGAAAAAAAACACACACGTTTACCTTTCACTCTGTCCACAAAGTCTCTCTTAGTGAGGGAGATAAACTGATTTGAGAGTGCCTTCTTCACTTCTTGCATCGAAGCAGGGATTTTCCAAGAGAGGCAGCTTCCGAGTTCCCCCGTTGGTTGACCTGGCGGCAGTGTCCATTGAAAAACATTCTATCAAGGCAAACACAAGAAAATCCATATAGTTTCATCTCATGAAATCAAGAATATGATTGTTTATGAGCACACATTCCTTGCAGCCCCTTGCACCCAGCTACTACACTGGGATTACGTGTGTGCAGGAAGGCTGTCAAAGGGGGCCCTTGGTTTTCCTAGCGAAAACATGCATACTTTGTGCATTTCCTTGAGTTTTCACATGGAAGGCAAAAAAATGAGATTGAGAATGTCAAAACGCTGTGCTTCCACAACCAGAAATCTACAGACAAAATCAGGAGAGGAGAAAACCCACGTTAATTCTAGTCTGGCCAGACATTCCAAGGAGCAGAGACAGTGGTTGGCCCAGAGAGAGACCCTGCCTCCCATGCAAAAGCCTCAGAAACTTCTGAAAGACAGGGACAGCAGGCTGGGTCATGGCCAGCAGTATCTAGGCACGCTTTTATTTCTCCTGTCTTAAAAAGAAAACCCTGGCCGGGCTCAGTGGCTCAGCCTGTAATCCCAGCTTTGGGAGGCCGAGGCAAGTGGATTGCCTGAGCCCTCAGGTTCAAGACCTGCCCAAGCAACTTGGTGAGACCTCATCCCTACAATTAAAAAAAAAATAGCCAGGCGTGGTACTGTGTACCTGTAGTTCCAGCTACTTGGAAGGCTGAGGCAGAAGGATCGCTGGAGCCCAGCAGGTCGACGCTGGGGTGGCCGTAAGACTGTGCACCAGTCTGGGCAACGGACTGAGACTCCAACTCAAAAATAAAAATAAAAAATAAAATATCCGGAATAGGTAATTCACAGAGATAAAAGCAGATTGGTGATTGCCAAGGGCCTGGAGACAGGAAAGTAGAAAGTAACTGCTGAATGGATATAGGGTTTCCTTCTACAATGATGAAAATGTTTTCAAACAAGAGAGAGATGATGATTGTACAACAATATGGAGGTACTAAATGTCAGTGAAGTGTTCACATTACAATGGTTAACTTTATATTAGTAAATTTCACTTTAATTTTAAAAAGGAGTATAAGAAATCCCTAGAGGATACCTGAGAAGGGCTTAGAAATAGATGTGAGAAGCAGGAAATAGTCTAAGAAGAATCATGTATCCCATGACTATAGAAGATGAAAGGTCTTTGTGACATATTCAAGCTCTCATTCTTACAGATTGTTGATACTGCATTAAAGTCAACAGATATGTAGGTATTATCTTACTTGGTTGAGGTGATATTTGTTGCTCTTGATCCCTCCTGAAGTCCCAGTTTTGATCAAATCTTCTTTAGAAAATGATTTCCAGACATACTCATCATTGTATAGTGTCTGATTGGGAATAGGATCACTAAGTGAGTATGTATATCCTAATCTTCTGAGACCTTTTGGGCTACAAAAAAAAAACCCAATAGAAATTAGAGAAAGAGATTAAACGCCAAATCTCACAATAGTACACATGTCAAATAATTTTTTTTACATTTAAAAAAATTTTTATGTTACAAATGTGGGGTATAATTCAGGATAAGATATACAAATGGTCATTGTACAGGTAAAGTTTGGGACACACTTTGGTCCCCACTTCGCCTAGTTTGAGATCAGGTATCCTTATTGATGAAATGGTCCCACCCACCCCTCCCCTGGAAGTTTCCCTCTACTGCCAATCCCTTTTTTCATAGTATTATGATCATTATTCAGGGTCCGCTTATGAGTAAAAACATGTGGTACTCTGCTCTTTGTTTCTGTGATAGATCACTGAGTACTACAGACTCTAAATCCATCCAAGTTGCTGTGAAGTTCATAATTTTGTCTTTCTTTATGGCTGTGTAGTATTCCATTGTGTATTTACTCATTGCATTTTTTTTAAACATTGGTTGGTTTAAGACTTAAAACCAGAAATAATTTAATTTCCAGAGTCCTTTGAAAAGGAAAATATCCTGTATTGTAGAATGGCTCTTAACAAAAAATCAATTACAGAGGCATTGTTATAAATTAAATTAATTTTTAAAACAACATAAATTAAAATTTTAAATTAAAATTTTAAAACAGCAGTCTGAGATGTATTTTATTTTATTTTTAAAGAGCTGGGCCCTTTCCTGTACAAACAATACTTTGGTATAACCAAATAGTTGGTGAGGAAAAGTTTCTGTAGAAGTATTCTGCTTGATAAAGGGAAGAAATATAAGCATTCGAATATCACTAGTTTGCAAGTCCCTAATTGTTACAAATAGTGCATCTGACAATGACCAGCGGTGTTCACGCATATTGAGGGACCACCATTATGTGATTCCCGATGGACATACACAGCCATGTCTATTAAATATTTTTGCCAAAATGCAAAACCTGAATCAGATTTAAATAGTCAGGGAATTGTATTACTGAAAAAACATAAAAAGAGGAATGTTTTAAATGACATCATGAAAATGAAATCAGAAAAATCAAGAACAACAATTCTGTTTCTTAAACAAATAAATTAGAGCCCTCTCTTTTTCAATTAAATGAGGAGACAAGCATAATAATCAAATGTGATGTGTGGACTTTGTTTGGATTCAATTTCAAAGCAATTTTTTTTTTTAATTATGAGACAATTGGGGAAATTTGATTGCTGATTGGCTATTGACACAAGGGAATTTTTTTAAGGTGAGATAATAATATTGTCATGTATTTTTAAAGTCTCTTTGTCTTAGAGATACATACAGATATTAAGAGTTGAACTGATACAATGCCTAGAATTTGCTTCCTTGTAATCCAGTGGGAAGGTTGGGTAAATGGTATAGATAAAAGTATCTCTGTTGATGATTGTTGTAGCTGGAATTTTTTTAATCTTCTTTTGTATGTATTTAAGATCTTCTCATATTGACTTTTTTCAAAAAGGGGGCTGGGTAGATTCAGGTTACGTCTATAAGAAGCAGACATCTGGGAAGCTGGGAACATCTGCATGATTGACACTGTTGTTCAGACACAAAGTGGCGATTTCACCAAGGGGACACAGCACAGGTAGCTTTAAAAGAGTCCACTTTCAGATCTGTTTCCCAGTGAACCCCTGCCTAAACAGTATCTCCCACGACAAGTCTGCCTCTGTAGGCAGCTTCTGTCCTTCTGCCAGCCCTTGTCCAATTCTTCCTTCCTCATTTTAGCCCAGGGTCTCTCTGGGGTGCATTGCCTGGGGGCATAGGCCTCTAAAGAAAATAGGGATCACATGACTACCTTGCACAACTAGCTCCATTTTGCTCCAGAATTCCCTCCCCCACGGTGATATTTTTTAGGTTAACTGCTTTTGCTTATCTCTGCACATAGGCCAAGCAAACTATGGGAGAAACTTAGTTTACAGTTTAAAGTAAGGATGAGAATAGTTCTGAAATGTCTGTAAAACATAAATGTCTGTAAAACATAAAACATGTATGTATTACACACATAGCCTGTAATAGCTTGCTTAATATAAGTAACTGCATTTTTGCTAAAAACGCTCCATCTTAGCTGCTTGCTACCCAGATATAACCCCCCTGCCTGCGTGTAACTAAAATAAGTTCCTTGTACTCACAGACCCAAATTCCTGTTTCCCATAAACTGTTTCTCCTGGCTGTTTGGAAACTTCCTAGCCACAAGTTCCGTGTAATTGTATGGTTTGTTAACTAAACTCAAATGCTACAACTTGCAAAACTCCATTGTTACATTCTCTTATTATAAGCCTATACTTTGTTAGTGACCTAACCAAGGTAACTTCATGACCTACCCAAGGTAAACTCCATTGTATAGTAGTACTTCCACCTTGACTCCATGTATCTGCCCTAATTGTTCCAGTCACCAGCTGTGCCTGGGTCATAAAGTTAATCAAAACCCCCTAACAATCACAAGTTGCCATTTTGGTTGCTAAGTTGCTAGTTTGTGGCAGCTATGGTTGCTAAGTTGCTAGGTATCCTTGTGGTTTTTCCTTTATAAGCCCACTGCCTGCTTCACTCAGAGCCGAGAGCCCTTTAGGACAATAGTCTGCTCTTGGTCACCAGCATAAATAAAGGTCTCAGTTAAATTCTCTGCATAATGGCGATCTACCTTCTCGCACTCCAGTCATAACAGTTCCTTTCCCAAATTAACCCCTGAGGAGATAAGGAAGGTATATACACAAACAACATTGTTATGTTAAAGATTTATAGAAGCATTATGACCAGGGACAAAGAATTTGCCACCCAGATGCCTGCGTCTGCTACGTCTTGACCTGAGTCCCCTTCCCCTAACTAAAAGTAGCCTAAAATTTGTATCAAACTTAAGATGATTCTTAACTTTAACTTTACTTTATTGTAGAGATGTGGGGTACAAGTCAGGATCAGGTACATAAGTCGTCTACATGCAGGTGAATTTTGGGCCTCCAACTGGTCCTCACTTCCCCTGGTTTAGGACCAAGGATCCTTTGTGCTGTTATGTGGTAACTCCATCCCTGGCAGTGTCTGGTGACTGTCGATCCCTTTCTCGTGTTATTGTGATTAATGTCTAGGGTCCACTTATGAGAGAGAACAAGTGGTATTCAGTTCTTCGCTTCTGTGATAGTATGATGGTCTAAGTATGATGGTCTCCAATATCATTCCATTTACTGTGACGTCCATGACTTTGTCCTTCTTTATGGCTGCATCATACTCCATCATGTACGGGTACCAAGTTTTCTTTATCCAGTCCACTTTTTTTTTAGTTGGAGTCTCACTCTGTCGCTCAGGCTGGAGTGCAATGGCACGCATACTCATGGTCACCACACCCTCAAACTGCTGGGCTCAGCTGGAACTACAAGCATGTGCTGCCATGTCCAGCTAATTTTTTGATTTATTGTAGAGATGAGGTCTCACCAAGCTGGCCAGGCTGGTCTCGAACCAGTGGGCTCAGGCAATCCTCTCACCTCAGCCTCGGCCGCCCAAAGTGCTGGGATTATAGGTGTGAGCCACCGTGCCCGGCCTATCCAGTCCACTTTTGATGGCAGTAGGGTTGGTTCCATGTTTTTGCTGTTGAGAATAGTGTGGCAATAAACATGCATGTGAGGGTGTCATTTCTGTAGAATGACTTGTGTTCCTTTGCGTGTGTTCCCAGAAGGGGGACTGCTGGATCATGTGGCAGGTTAATTTCTAATTCCTTTAGAAATCAAGATGGTTCTTTAGGACATTAGTCTACCATCTTTTCGGTAGACTGGCTGTCTGAAATACAGTTGCCTCACTTGCCCAACCCTTTTTCTCTTGCCTTATTGGTTGTTATGTGGCAAGAGATACAAGCTTGGACTCACTGACACAACCACTTGAGGGGCGCCCAATGAAGGGAAACGTGGTCAAAGTAATTTCAGAGAAATCCCGTTGTCATCCAAATTCCATACACTTGCCTGGAGTTTGTGGCTCTTAGCGTCCTGGGCATTTCTACAGAGCGTGGGGGGACATGAGGTACCCAGGGTGCCAGGCTTGTGTGTGCATGTTCTGAATTTAGATGTGTCATAGAGCAATGGTCCTTAAGCTTTTTAGCATCAGGGACCAGTTTCATGGAAGACAATTTTTCCACGGATTGGCAGGGGTGGGGTGTTTCAGGATGATTCATGCACATAATATTTATTGTGCACTTTATTCCTATAATTATTATGCTGTGATATGTAATGAAATAATTATACAACTCACCATAATGCGGAATCAGTGGAGTCCTGAGCTTGTTTTCCTGCAGCTAGACAGTCCCATCTGGGGTGATGGGAGACAGTGATACCCGAAATGTGTTGCTTATGACCATTGTACGCTATAATCTCATTTTGGTTGCTGTCACTGCGGAAAACCCTGCTTCACAAAGATATGATTGTGGGAATAGAAGCAGGCTTTTCAGTGCTTTTGTGGCAATCTTAGGATATTCCACCTTGACTTTAATCCAGAATGTATGGAGATGTGATGTTGTCTCAAACATACTTTTAAGGCCACCGTCATTTGTGATCTCAAGCAGCTGATTCTCTTCTAGCACAAAGTCAGTTCACCTGGCTTATTCATTCACAGATAGGTCGCAGATTCATTCCTTCCAGGTTCAGGGGTCTTTCATGGTTGAGAAGTAACACTCAAACTCTTCTGAAAATTGAAATAGGTGATTACACACCAGCTGGGAGAAGGCAGGCCCTGGCTCCGTCTCTTTCAAAATCTCTGCTGATGTTTGAGACATGTCAAAAACCCCAGTGTTCACTCGTTGCTCCCACAATTCCAGCTTGGCATTGAATGTAGTCACTTTGCCTTCTGACTGGAACACGGTTGTCATTCTCCCCTGAAGTGACAGATTGAGTTCGCTGAGCAGGCTGAATATGTCACACAAGTAAGCAAGTTTTGCAACCCATTCTGTGTCACTGGAATGTGCTACCAGTGGTGACTGTTTTTCTAAAAGAAATCTCTGGCGCAGCCC